TATATCAAATAACATTCACAAAAATATGTTCAAATCATCATATATGAGATTGGATGTGGGGCATATCTACTATATCCCTAACAATCTCCCACTTGCACTAGAGCCAATCGCTCTTATAATTCATTCCTAATTTTTACTTGTGCTTGGCAAACTCCTTTGCGCCAAGAGCGTTAGTGAATGGGTCTGCAGCATTTTCCTTTCTATCAACCTTTTGAATCTCAACGTCTCCACGTTCAATAATTTCTCTTATCAAGTGATACCTTCGCAGAATGTGTTTAGATTTTTTGTGTGATCTTGGTTATTTTGCTTGAGCAATGGCTCCAATATTGTCACACAATAATAGAGTTGCACCTTCTATTGAAGGATTCACACCAAGTTCAGTTAAGAACTTTTTCATCTATACAGCTTTCTTTGCAGCTTACTAGCTGCTATATATTCTGCTTCAGTCACTCAATTAGCTACTATAGCTTGTTTGGAACTTTTCCAACTCACTGCACCACTATTTAAGGTGAATACATAACCAGAAAAGATTTTCTATCATCTTTATCTGAAGAGAGACTTGCATCAGTATAACCTTCAAGTTTCAACTCAGAATCTCCATAAATGAGGAATTGGTCTTTATTCCTTCTTAAGTACTTAAGAATGGTCTTCACTGCCTTCCAATGTTCCTACCAGGATTTGCTTGATATCGGCTAGTCACTCATAGTGCATAAGCCACATTAGGACGTGTACATGTCAAGGTATACATAATAGCTCTCACTACACTAGCGTATGGGATCCTACTCATGCGTTCTCTCTCTCTTCAGGTGTTTTAGGATAATCTCCCTACTGAGAGTACTTCCAGTGCCTATCGGTAGATAGCCTCTTTTGGAATTATCCATGTTATACCTTTTCAAAATGGTATCAATGTACAAAGACTTGGAAAGCCCAAGCAGCTTCCTCGATCTATCTCTATAGATCTTTATTCCCAATATATAAGCTGCTTTCTCCTAAGTCTTTCCTGGAGAACTATTCAGATAGCCAAATCTTGGTACTTTGCAATGCAGGTATATCATTCCCTATGAGCAATATATCATCAACATACAATACTAAGAATATAATTGTGCTCCCACTAACCTTTTTGTATACACAAGGCTCTTCTTCGCATCTAACCAAATTGAACTTTTCAATTATCTTGTTAAAGTGAATATTTCAACTTCGAGAAGCTTGTTTTAGTCCATAAACGGATCTTTGTAGCTTGCAAATCTTATTATAATCAGACAGAGATGTGAAACTTTCAGTTTGTGTAATGTACACATCCTTTTCTAGCTCACCATTAAGGAAAACTATTTTCACATCCATTTGCCACATTTCATTGTTAGAACCTTGTGTCGCCTCTTCATAGGTCTTAGGGTCATCATTATTATGATTAACCTCATTTGATACACCATCTTTTACCATTAGGCTTAATCTAGTTGGTACATGACGTTCTCGTGTAGACCTTCTAAGAGGTTCTTGTGTACCTTGTGTTGGATTTGGTTGTTGTTCAATTTGGGTTGAAACTGGTTCATTAACATGTTCATGAACTACATTTAGTTCTTGAACTTCAACAGTTGATGATGAAAACTTCTTTGTCAACTTCAAAACATCCAATAAAGGTTCTTCAACTTATGTCTCATGATCTTAATTTTGTGTTGCTTCATTAGTTTCTTGAACTTCATCAAGTTCTATTTCTCCAGTATAATTTCCTTCCAAAAGGACTTCCCTTTTCAAAAAGGTTATTCCTCTAGCCACAAACACTTTATGGTCAGAAGGGTGATAGAAATAATATCCCATTGTATTTTGAGATACCCAATAAACCTACACTTATCACATCTTGAGTCAAGTTTATCAAACTGCAATCTCTTAACATAAGCTGGACAACCCCAAACTTTAAAGGATAGGCTTACATCCTTTCCGTATCTCATATGGCGTTGTGGAGACTAACTTAGTGAGAACTTCATTGAATAAATATATCGCCGCTTCTAAAGCGTATCCCCATAAATTTATTGAAAGATCAGTGAACCCTATCATAGATCTCACCATATCTAATAAGGTTCAATTTCTCTTTTCAGACACATCATTGTGTTGCAGTGTTCCTGGAGGTGTCCACTATGAGAGAATCCCATTCTCTTTGAGTTACCTAGTAAAATCTTCACTAAGATACTCTCCACCTCTATCAGACCTTAGTACTTTAATACTTTTACCGGTCTGTTTCTCAACTTCACGACGGAACCTTTTGAACATTTCAAAAGATTTAGATTTATGTTTCATAAGATACACAAATCCATATCTTGACATATCATCAGTGAAGGTGATGAAGCAAGAATATTCACCTCTAGCTTGAATTTTTATGGGCCCACAAACATCTGTATGAATTAGTCCCAATAATTTAGAAACTCTTTCTCCACTTCCAGTAAATGGAGATTTGGTCATTTTTTTTTTTTGAGACAAGATTCACAAGTTGGATATGATTCAAAATCATACTTATCAAGGTACCCTTCCTTGTACAACTTGTTAATTCTTTTCTTTCCAATATAACTAAGCCTACAATGCCAAAGATATGTATGATTTACTTAATCATCTCTTTTTCTCTCAGGAATAGAAACATGCATAGTCGAATTTGCACTCTTAGGTAAGACATAAACATCATGTTGGAGATAGTCATTCACATATAACTCATTACCATAATAAATAGAACAAATATCATTGCTTATGTTAAAGCGAAACCACGCTTGTCCAACATAGAAGCTGAAATTATGTTCAAAACAAATTTAGGAATATAATAACAGTCATCTAGCATAAGTATTTTGCCCGAAGGCATTATTAAAAAAATTGATCCTATAGCTATAGCTGCAACTTTTGTACCATTTCCAACTTGTAGATTAACTTCTCCTTTCTTCAGCCTCCTACTTATCTTAAACCCTTGCATTATATTGCAGATGTTATAACCATTATTAATATCTAATATCCACATTGAAGAATTAGTAGTAGCTAAAGGAACCTTGAAAATAGTTTTCATTAATGTTTTACCTTATTTCTTATCCTTTAGAGTTGCAAGATACTCCTTGCAGTTTCTCTTCCAATGCCATTTTCTTCGTTTAATGAAAACATTCAACATCATATACTAGCTGCAAGATCAAATCTTCAGAAAACTCTTTACCAAGCTTGTACCCCAACTTCTCAAGTTCTTCGGTAAGATCAATCACCTGATTGACATGGGGTCAAACTGGAGAGTTTTCAATGTCCAACTGTGTATCAATTGTCATCTTAAGATGTTCAATGATTGCAGTTGGATCCATATTTTGATGTTTTCTCTGGAGTTCAGAACTCATAGAAGCGAGAGTGATGCGTTTAATAGCAATGCATTCTTCCAAGTATTTCTAATAAACCTTGGTGCCTTGAACATCATTCTCTGGTGGGACTAGCTTTGCAGGCTTATCGAGCACATCAATGAGCTTTTCATGCATGAGAACAATTCTCAAATTTCTATATCAGTCATCAAAGTTTGGTCCTACCAACTTCTTGGTCTCAAGTATTTCACGCAGTGATATAACAGACATATTGAGAAATCTAAAAGATAGAAAGAAAAGGCAATAATATAAGAACATATTACATATATCATAAAGACATAGACTTTTATCTAAATGATATTTCCACTAATATTTTAAAATATTTACCCTCATTATAGTTTAAGAAATCTTTATTTCTGTTAGTGGAGTAAAGAAATTCTTTAACAATATGTATGAGCCCCTTGGAAGTCAAGTCGTTTCTCACATATATTTTAAAGTTAGATACTCTTACTAATTTTTTTCTAGCCCCGATATACATAGATTATGCACTTATTATACATATACAAATATGATACATGAATTATACATATATAATATATCAAGTCGCTATTTTTAATTTAAACGATTATGCAAGTAGCTATTTGGGTTAATTCTTCTTTAGTTTCTTACTATGTGCAATAGATTTCAAGCAGATGACGGTGAATGCGGTCGTACTATTAACAAAAGCTACACTACCACTCTATAACAAAGTATCTTATGTACTGGTGTTACAAATAATTAAGTTGGAGTTAATTCATGCTTCCAATAATTTAGTAGTAGTTAGTAAGTACACACTAGAGTAAATGAGTAATCACAAATCTGTCTCCCTAGTGTCTCTTAGCAGCATCTAGCCTAGTTAATCCATCCTATATATAGCATCAGCGCCATTTCAAACGCTCCGCCGTTTGACTCCCATTTGAACCAATCATTAATTCCTGAAAATCATTAATTCCTACTTACTGAAAATCAATGTGCGTCACTGTCTTCACTTTTTTATTTCAAATCATCCTCATCATCTCATTACATCTACCTTCAAAATTGCTAATTACAGGTTTTACTCTCTTACTAGTTGGATTAATGATATTTGAATTGAAACAATATGTGTTGAATCTGAACATAGTTGGGACTTTATTCACGGTCAAAATTGGTACTGAAAACTAGTTCCTTCTGGATCATTAAATTGCCAATAATTTCTAAGAAATATTTAAATTTTGGAGAACTGAGATTTAAAATTGCTGACTAGGTTTTATTGTTAGCAACCTAACCAATCCACCCTATCTATCACTTTTTTATTATTTTTTTTGTTATTGTTATTTTCTTAAACAAAAAAGCAATTCTCGACAAAATTGGGAACAAGTGAATTACTAGTAAGATCAATAATCGATATAATTCAGAGAAGTACATTCAAATTTCTGGGGACTGAGATTATCTTGGCACTATAAACTGTTATACCACCACACCCCCTACCCCCCCTACCCCCCCCCCCCCCCAACAAAAAAAAAACCACTCAGGAGAAATCGAAGAAGACCTAATTAGCCCACATTGCACTTTATGTGCAACAAGAAGTGACAGACTTAGGTAATATGGCATTAAAAATTGTGGGTTGGGTTGGGTTGTTTATGTTTATAAAAATGTGATAGGCTTTTGCATCCTTGTTACTCCCAACACAAACACACAAATCGTTGTATTAAATAGAGTGGGTGTATATATAACTGTAACTGGTCCTATATATTTTGTCTCAAGCTGTTTGATTTCTAGGAGTGTGTAAATATATGACTACTCATTCAAATTTGAATAGTCTTTTGAGTCCTTATATGCACAATTTTTTGTATATTCTCTCTCTCATTTCTCTTTGACTACCTCGGCGTCACCAAAACCTCATTTGACCACCATTCATTTTCCCTCCTTTTGCCAAACTCTTCAGGCTTTAAACCCCAAATCTCATTTCTACTTCTTTCAGTCATTTCATCAAACAGTTGTCTTTCGTCCCTATAGTCAGTCATGAATAATAGAGGAGAAGCCAATAATAGCATAGACACTGAGCCCACTTCTCTCAAGGTCAGTTTCCAAGACCTTAGTATTAGCAATACTAACAGTACTAGCATTGATTTTTGTAGTACTAGCTTTACCCTATCTGAGAATAATAGCATAGGTAGTAAACTGAGTACTGATGGTGGTTTTGAAGGGAAAAAAATGGAATCTTTGAATGTTGAATTGGAAAAGGCTGTTGAATATGTTGACAGTGAGAATACCAGTTTTAGTTCAGTTAGTTATTGTAACAGTGCTGACCCAAATGAGGCTAGTTTCAGGGGCATTTGTGTATCAAAACCTCACAAGGGTAACGATATTCGATGGGATGCAATACAATATGTGAAAGGGAAAAATGGAGAGTTGGGCTTGGCCCATTTTAGGCTTTTGAAAAAACTGGGATTTGGCGATATTGGGAGCGTTTATTTGGCGGAGTTAAGGGGGATGGGATGCTTGTTTGCAATGAAAGTAATGGACAAAGGGATGTTAGCTGGGCGGAAGAAGGTGATGAGAGCTCAAACTGAGAGGGAAATTTTGGGCTTGTTAGACCATCCGTTCCTCCCAACCCTTTATTCACATTTTGAAACAGAGAAGTTTTCGTGTTTGCTGATGGAGTTCTGTAGTGGGGGAGATCTTCATTTGCTCAGGCAGCGCCAGCCCGGCAAGCATTTTACAGAACAAGCTGCAAGGTTTGTCTTTTATTCTAGTTTCTCGATTTTTCAACTGTGTAGTTGCCAATTTGACTGCATATGTACCAAAATTTTCAATTTTTACTTGTTCCTTTGTTTCACATAGTACTACCATTGGTATCTGGATTAAGTGTCTTATGTCGCTAGATGCTGTTTGATAAACTTAGTGCTCTGCTGCTAGTCACTTCATCACCGGTCTGACTTGATGATTTCCTTGAGTTCTCTATGCAGCGTGTGTGACATCGGAGTTTTAATGGCGATTGCTCATTATTTTTGATCTTTTGTGTCCCCAGTTTCAAATCCTAGGAATGCAGATTGTTAAATACTTCCACTTAGTGTTGGCCACTGTTGAAGCATTAGGTTATACACTCTGCTTTCATCAAATCCATGAAAAAATGGAAATTCAGAATCTTGTAATTATATTCGAAATATTTAAGCATGGTCTATAGTATGATATTGGTCTGAGATGAATTTAAATGGGGAACATGGTCTATTCTAACTGGACCTTAATGCCATGCGACAGTGCATTTTATTTTGTCTCAATTTTGGTTAAACTTCCAATTTTCTGTCTATTCTGAAGTCTCATAAAGAATTTGTTTCCTTTTTCTTGTGGCAGATTTTATGTATCAGAGGTGTTGCTCGCCCTTGAGTATTTACACATGATGGGAGTTGTATACAGAGATTTAAAGCCTGAAAATGTTTTGGTGAGGGAAGATGGCCATATAATGCTGTCAGATTTTGATCTATCATTGAGATGTTGTGTTAGTCCCACCCTTCTAAGATCCAGTGATGAGCCATCTTGTGCTCTCTCTTCATACTGTATCCAGCCATCATGCATTGATCCAGCGTGCAAATTACCTGTCTGTGTAGAGCCTTCATGCTTTCAACCTTCGTGTTTTAAGCCTCGTCTCTTCAACCAAAAAACAACCAAAACGAGAGGTGATCGTGCGCCCGTGGTGTCTGCTGGTTCACTTCCTGTGCTGGTCGCAGAGCCAACTGCAGCTCGATCTATGTCCTTTGTTGGAACCCATGAATACTTAGCCCCAGAAATAATTAGAGGAGATGGTCATGGTAGTGCTGTTGATTGGTGGACATTTGGGATTTTTCTGTACGAGTTACTTCATGGTAAGACACCATTTAAAGGCAATGGAAATAGAGAGACATTATTTAACGTGGTCGGTCAACCTCTAAAATTTCCTGAAGGATCCACAGTTAGTTTTGCTGCGAAGGATTTGATCCGAGGTCTACTTATGAAGGATCCTCAAAAACGACTAGGATTTAAAAGAGGTGCTACGGAGATCAAACAACATCCTTTCTTTGAAAGCGTTAACTGGGCTCTCATTCGAAGTACTCATCCTCCAGAGATTCCTAAGCCAGTCGATCTTACATTTTTTAAACAATCGTGCAAGTCATCGTCTCATGCAAACGAGAAGGCTGCTTCTGATTCGGATAGATCATCTGGTCCTTATTTAGATTTTGAATTTTTCTGAATAAATTTTTGAGGGTGGATTTGTAGGTGTCATTCTTGATGCAACTAAATGGCCATCTTTGATGTTCATTTTGGTTAGAAAGTAATTTGTTTCACTTCACAATTATGTTTCTTTATTACATGCTCTAAAAAGTACTACAAGTAGTTCTCTCACCAACTTTCTTAACTGCTTTCCAATAGAAACTTACAAAAAGATAAAGGCATTGGAATCTCCTGAAAATGGTTTTCCTTTTCATGTTAAATACTTTCAGTAAAGTGAAAGGAATATAAAAGTAGCAGAGAATACCTTTTATATTCATTGTTTCAATCTGTTAATTAGATATTCCTTGAGGACCCTCGGTTTGAGGTGGTGAAACCACACTTTTCAGGACACACTTTAACAGAGGCTATCTTTGTCTTGAACAAGGACTTTTCCTATAAAAACATCTTCTGTAGTTTATATAAAGAAACTTCAACATGTGGACAAATGATGATAAAGTTTTCTTTTGTTACAAATTTTGCAGTGTTGAGTCAGTGTCGTTTTCCACCTTATAATATGTCAGTGTTGCTTTGACTGAGGATGCTAAAAGGGGGGACTTATTTTGTGTATTTTCTTTCTTTCTTTCCAAACTGTGCTGGAAAAAAAAAAAGGAAAATCTATTTGCTTTCTGTTGTCTTTAGTCTATCATTCTTCTTTTGGACGTGGGTTATATTCTTGTAAGATGCATTGGCTTCTTTTTTCCTCAAAAACAGTAGTATCTTGAGTTGGATGCCGACATTCTGTTCAGGGTTGTGCAATCTAGGTACCAGATTAAAGTGGAACCAATTTCTTGAATCGAAGCTTGTGCAATGGAATCATAGGCAGGAAGCTACTGTGTTTTTTTTTTCCAAAGTGCATTTTCATAGATACGGATGGAACAAGAGAATGACACATCTTTAAAATGCATTTTGATTTTAAAAAGACAAATCATGTTGATTTTGGACCTTTAGAATGACTCGCATTTTACCACTCAAGAGTTAAAATGACGAATAAGATACAAAATTGCATCCAGTTGTACTTCCATATTATTCCGGCTCCACCTAGCTGTAATTCAAAAATTAGCTCATGATGAAAGAATGGGGATGTAACGACCCGGCCGGTCGTTTTGAGAATTTAAGCTCCATTCAGCGGCGTAAGGTCTGAAACAGCTTCATAATACGAGTATCAACTTGCGTGCATGGTTGAATTCAGTTAACGGATGATTCAGAGTAAAATTAGAAGAAGGAATCTAGTTTTGGGAGTTTAAGCGGTGAGAATTTGACCGGAATTGGACTTTTGAGTAAACGGCCCCAGAATGAATTTTTGATGATTCCAACAGCTTCGTATGGTGATTTAGGACTTAGGCGCGCGTTCGGATTGTGTTTTGGAGGTCCGTAGCTAATTTAGGCTTGAAATGCTGAAAGTTGAAATTTTGAAGTTTCCGATTCGATAGTGAAGTTCTGATCCGAGGGTCGAAACGGAATTCAAAAAGTTGGAGTAGCTCCGTAGTGTTGAATGTGGCGTGTGTGCAAAATTTCAGGCCATTCGGACGAGGTTTGATAGACTTTTTGATCGAAAGCGTAAATTGAGAGTTTTTGGAGTTCTTAGGCTTGAATCCGATGTTAAATTGGTGTTTTCATGTTGTTTTGAGCGTTCCGAGGATTGGGACAAGTTTGAATGATGTTATGGGATATGTTGGCATGTTTGGTTGAGGCCCCGAGGGCCTCGAGTGTGTTCCGGATGGGCTACGGGTCATTTTCTCTTGTTTTTGAACTGCTGTTTCTGGTATCTGATATCCTCCTTCGCGTTCGCGAAGCCCCTCCCGTGTTCGCGAAGTGTCTCTGCTGGTCGCCTCATTTTCCTTCTTCGCGTTCGCGTAAAAAGCCTCGCGTTCGCGTAGCTCTCTCTCTTCACTCATCGCGTTCGCGTCAGTACATGACGTTCGCGTACTTATGCCATCCCACCCTTCGCATTTGCGTACTAGTTCACGCGTTCGTGAAGAGCAATCTCTGGGCCATAATATTTTCCTTCTTCACGTTCACGAAGCACATCTGGGAAGCCTTCATTTTTTTTCTTCTTCGCGAACGCGATACTTCCTCCGCGTTCGCGATGCTTTAATATCTAGGCAGAATATAAGTTATCCAAATCGAGGGTTAGGCCATTTTTAACATTTTTGGAGTTCTAGAGCTCGGTTTTGGGCGATTCCTTGTGGGTTTTTCAAGCAAAACGTTTGGGTAAGTGTTCTTAACTTAGAATTGATTATATTCCATGAATTTGTCTTCATTTTTATCATTTAATTTGTGCTTTTAGTTGAGGAAAATGTTGGTTTTTGAAGGAAATTCCTAAAACGAAAAATCGTGATTTGAGGGGCCAAATGGCATCGGAATTTAATAAATTTTATATGGTTGAACTCATATTGGAATGGGTATTCGGATTTTGTATTAAATTTCGGGTTCCGAGGTGCGGGCCCGGGGGTCAACTTTTGGACCAATTTTTAGATTTTGTTAGAGATTGAAACTTTATGATCCGGAATAGTTTCTTATGTGTTTTATTTGTGCTTTGAAGTTAATTTGGTTAGATTTGAGCCGTACGGAGGTCTTTTCACCCGAGAAGTGCATTTTTGAGCATTGGTTTGTCGTCTTTGAGGTAAGTATCTTGCCTAACCTTGTGTGGGGGACTTCCCCTTAGGACTTGAGTCTTCCATGCTAATTGTAGTCCGTGCACGCGAGGTGACGAGTGTGTGCTCGGGCTTATTTGTGGGAAAATTGCCTTTAGGATTCTTAGGTCCTTATGTTCATCCAATGGGAAGTATTCTGTTATGATTGAGTTGTCTAATTGCATAATTTACCTCTTGTCACGACCCGGATTTCCCACCATCAGAGTCGTGATGGCGCCTACTCGTGTTAGCTAGGCAAGCCAACTTAATTACCTTTCCATCACTAGCAATTATCTTTAACAATTTATAACATCAATATAGAACATAAAGTCTAATAAGAACAATAGCGGAAGTCTGTCTTAAAATGATGAATTTAAAACGCGGAATAGTCAAAAACAACCTCTACCCAAGATTTGGTGTCACATTACTCACGAACCACTAAGAATAAACTAAATACAAAGGTCTGAAAGAGATATAACAGTTGTTTGTCTCGAAACAAGGAGGCAACAGTCTAAAAGAAAACAATGAGAAGAGACGTCGGGCCTGCGGACGCCTGCAAGGTTACCTCAGTCTCGTGAATATGAATCGCCTGCCCCCGTACTACTGCTGCTGCTGTCTGAGCCGGTGGAATCTGAGTCTGGGGAGCTACCTACTCCGGAGTACGTGCAGCAGGAGTCTGGGCTCCTCCTCCAGCCTGGGAAGATGCAGGAAGCAATCCTGCTCGGGTGACATTCTCCATGAGGCCAACAACCCGGACCAAGGCGTCCTGAAGAACTGGGGTAGCAATAAACCCCTCTGGTACCTGAGCTGGGCCTACCGGAACTGTCTGAGCTGGGGCCGGAACCTCCTCGTCAAGACCAACCTGAGGGTCCGCCACTGGCGTTGCTGCTGGTGGCTGGGCCCTGCCCCTACCTCGGCCCCTAGCTCGGCCACGTCCTCTGCCCCTAAGGGAGCTGCCTGGGGCTCGGACTGCTAATCGAAGGATGAGGAAGCGCGTGTTCTCGCCATCTGCGAAAGAACAGAGTGGAAATTCAATCAGCATTTAAGAAACCAAATCGCACGACAAGAAAGAACAAATGAGAGATTTTTGCTAACTCAATAGACTCTGGGGAACAAGTACAGACGTCTCCGTACCTACCCCTCAGACTCTACTAAGTTTGTCCGTGAGTTGTGAGACCTATGTAACCTAGTGCTCTGATACCAATTTGTCACGACCCGGATTTCCCACCATCAGAGTCGTGATGGCGCCTACTCGTGGTAGCTAGGCAAGCCAACTTAATTACCTTTCCATCACTAGCAATTATCTTTAACATTTTATAACATCAATATAGAACATAAGTCTAATAAGAACAATAGCGGAAGTCTGTCTTAAAATGATGAATTTAAAACGCGGAATAGTAAAAAACAACCTCTACCCAAGATTTGGTGTCCCATTACTCACGAACCACTAAGAATAAACTAAATACAAAGGTCTGAAAGAGATATAACAGTTGTCTGTCTCAAAACAAGGAGGCAACAGTCTAAAAGAAAACAATGAGAAGAGACGCCGGGCCTGCGGACGCCTGCAAGGCTACTTCAGTCTCGTGAATATGAATCGCATGCCCCCATACTACTGCTGCTGCTGCTCCTCAAAACCTGGACCTCTGCAAAAATGCACAGAAGTGTAGCATCAGCACAACCGACCCCATGTGCTGGTAAGTGTCTAGCCTAACCCCGGCGAAGTAGTGACGAGGCTAGACTGGACACCACATAAACCTGTGCAGTTATAGATATACAGCGGAAATCGAACACAAAGCAATTACCAACATGGGAGGGGAAACATGCTATGGGGAGTTACAATAATAACAATAATCCAGAGTAACAACTAAAGCAACTTAGGTTCACAGCGAACAAGGAATCAATACTCAAATGTAAACACATAGCCTCAACAATTGTTGCGGCGTGCAACCCGCTCCATAATTACCATTGTTGCGGCGTGCAACCCGCTCCACAATATCATTGTTGCGGTGTGCAACCCGACCCATATCACTTATCATATATCATTGTTGAGGCGCGCAACCCGATCCTCGTATATTATTGTTGCGCCGCGCAACCGGATCCTCAACATCATTGTTGCGGCGCGCAACCAGATCCTCAATATCATTTAACAGTCTGACTTCCCATACAACAGTCACAATTAAGGGGCACAAAATAAACAAATATTTGACAAACATTCCGGCAAGGGAAAGATTCCAACAAGTTCAACCAAATGTCCTGACAAGGGAATAATCAACAACGCTTTCTCTTTCTTACTTTCCTTATCTTATAATTCACTTTGCTATTTTGAGCCAACGCTCCAAAGAATCAAGTCATTTCGTATACTTTCAATATTCGTATCACAATTCGAGCCAATGCTCCCCGGATTCAAGTGATCATATTACCGTTCACATGTTATTCACAACAACTA